AATTACTTTTTAATTAAATGCATTAATTACTTTTTAAAATACAAGGAGGGAAAGCACATAGAGCATGCCTTTTGGATTTCTTCCCAACCACTTTGGCCATAAAGAAGCATCTGCGTTATCTTCTATGTAATGAAGTAATATGTCATATTTTTCTGGATGCCCATGTATGCGCATGCTTCTGCTTTCCCTCTGTGTTTTGTCTGCGATTGTGCTATGTGTGTACTAGATGTATATTCTCTGCTCTGGGTCGTACGGCCAGGAGGGAGGAGGGCTTAGAGTGGAGGAATTGGCAGTGTTCCAATGATTGATTGATTGATTGATTGATTGATTGATTGATTGATTGATTGATTGATTGATTGATTGATTGATTGATTTTGGATTTTATTTTTCTTGCTAGATCCTGGGGGGATTCTACTGGTTTTTTAACTCAGACTTTCTTTTGTGATGATTGATTGATTGATTGATTGATTGATTGATTTTGGATTTTATTTTTCTTGCTAGATCCTGGGGGGATTCTACTGGTTTTTTAACTCAGACTTTCTTTTGTGGACTACCCTTCCACACACTCATTGAGGTCCCCTTCTGCTCAGTTTTCAGAGACTCATCATGTAGGCAGGCAGACTGACAGAGCCTAGAGCAGTGTTTCTCAACCGTGGCAACTTTAAGTGATAGGGACTTCAACAAGGCTGGCTGGGGAATTCTGGGAGTTGAAGTCCCTACTGCTTAAAGTTGCCACGGTTGAGAAACATTGGCCTAGGGCATCTATACAAAATTACTTTCCAACATTACTTTCCAAGGCTGGCTGGGGAATTCTGGGAGTTGAAGTCCCTACCACTTAAAGTTGCCATGGTTGAGAAACACTGGCCTAGAGCGTCTATACAAAATTACTTTCCAACATTCTGTTAGGTTGGAAAGAATTAAAAATATCAGTGAATACGTTTTTATCAAAAAATAAGTGAAACTGTCAAGAGGTGTAACCACATTAATCTGTTGCAACAGAAATAGCTGCGAGTTTTAAAAATGATGTAAGATTTTCCATTATTGTAACAAAATATTATTATACACAGATTTACAAGATAATTTTCCTAAGCCATCTTTGGACAGCTGCTAAAACTGTTCTATTTTGCTATGGTTGTAGCGATTAATTATTTTAGAAAGTTCCTTTGTTTTATTGTAACCTTTCTTTTTTACCATTCTTGTTTGAGCTCTTTTTTTTTTGGCTATATTTTATTGTTTTTATGGTTTAATTGTAAATTGACTCTAGTACACATTGTTATTGTTTGCACATTGCACTAAGCTATGATTTAAACCCAGAGTTTGTTGAATGAACCACAGTGGTGGGTTTCACCTATGCTAGGCCAAAAACCTAACAAACCACAATGGAGCTTAAAAGGATGAGTGAAGGAGTCATATAGTAGAGGGGAAGAGAGTTTCAAAGCATTAATAAAATTAATAATATGAATAAATAAATGGTACTTTATATGATAGGAAATGCCATCTGGGCTTTCAGATGCTGCTGTCAGCTTCCAGCAATCTTGCAAGATTGCTCATTTTATGTGCATGTATACACACCACACATACACACAACGACATACACACCTGGTTTTAAAAAGATCAGCACCCCCGGTTATACACCTAAAAGCAGTCCTGAAGGGAAACTGCCCAATTCCTTGGAGACATTCTTAGAGTGTAAGTTTTATACCTGAACAGCATAAACATTTTTATTATAAAGCCAATTATGTGTTTTTAAAAAAATCATAAATAGTAGATAACTGATTGCTCTTATGTTTTATATTCTGAATAGTCGGCAGAGAATAAATGTGTCAGAGCAGGTCAAAATCCATGCTTTTGAGGAATAAATGTGACATATAAATATACAAATAAGTTGAAGGAAAGGAGTTTTCAGTTCTTCAGTCCCACTTAGACATTTTCATACATACTGTAAGTATATGCATGTGAGTACTGTATGTTTAATGGGAGAATTAATGTTGTTCAAAGGTACATTTTAGTCAAGTTAGAAGCAACATTTGGGTAACATGTATAAATTTGAGATCAATCCAAATTAGAGTAAAATCCTTGCTACAAACCAGCAAGATGAGATCCATAGCAATAGGGGACAAGATTTCCATTAAATGGCACTGGGGGGGAGCTTTCCAAATGATGGGAGTGCCAAGTTAGTAATTTGAAAAGTAATTTGCCAATGAACTAACCACAAGCCAAATGTCATGTCAACCATTCTTGATAGGTTGTTTGGTCATTTTTCTTCCAACACTCAATGTCCAGGATGCAAACTGGTAAGATGTTAAAGAGAAGTTATTTGGTCAAGAAACAGAGTAAGGCAGAGTGAGTTCCAAATACTTAAACAAAGTTTTTGATCTTACAAAAAACAGCAAAATAGTCCTTTCACCAAAAGTAAACTGATGATGCTCAGAGAAAGACAAACAGATGAAATATTTACAACCACAATATTCATAGGAATTCTACATCTGAATTCACTATTACGGAAAATGCATTCCAGACAGAAACAAACATACGGTATTAGCTAACACTCCACAGCAGGGGGGAAAACAACTGTTCTGTCCCATACCATCCTTCTAGCACATCTCCTCTTTAGCTGCTCTCCTGACACAATCTACTTTTTTATTTATTTTATTTATTTATTTGACTTGTCCCCGCCCCCCTCCCCCCCACACGCGGGGGTCGGCGGGGGTGAAAAAAAAAAAAAAAAAAAAA